GTGAGAGAGAGGAAGAGAAACATACAGAGTGGAAGATGGATCCAGGAGTGAAAACTCTTTAAACAAGAGAGATGAGCAGACCGCAAAAAGCAGGAATCCCTTTGCGATGACCCAGCAGAGGGGCTTCAGTGAGAAGGGGGCTGGCAGATAGGGAGTCAGGTGGGCCTTTGGGATCAGCACTGCCACACCCGTTTGCAGTGGCAGTAAGGAACAATTCCCAAAAGGGTTGGGAGGCTGGAAAGGTGGGACGACATGCCTCTGACCTTGCTCCACCTACTCTTCCCCTCCCTACAACGTATGTGCCCCTCCCCCCACCCATCTCCTCTAAAATGCCACCCTGTCTCCACAACCGCCCAGGTGACAACCTTCAGAAACGTACCCTGGGTTTTGTTATTGGAAAACTCGGAGATGGGTCTGAGCCACCCCCAGAGCTGAACTCTCTCAAAGCGAGGGCATATTTGGATCCAGAATTTTGGTTCAGGCCCATGACTATTGAGAATGAGTTCCCGCCACCCCTGCCCTCTTTTGTCCCTGAAAACTCTGCACAATGCAGAGAGGAAAATGCCTTTGTCCAAGCCCTTTGGCAGGAGCCATGGCAGTGTTTAATGTTTTCATTGTTCACGTGTACTGTCCCCATTCTGTACATGAGAGACAGCAAAGAGCATTCATCATCCCTTTAGCAGCCATGGCTGTTCCTTGCTGACTGCTTGGGAAAGTCGCAGGCTTTTGCATTCAGCAGCCAAAGCAGATATTCAGCCTCTGGCAACTCCAGCTCCCACAGAGGCAACTCACCACATCAAACCGCTTGGCAAGTTCCAGATCGTCCTCGTTTCTCACCATCTCAAAGAAATCTAAGTGCCTAGGAAAGAGGAAAACAAATCCAACCAACTCACATGACACAACTCTCACCTCGACAAAAGCTGTGGCAGGGGAGAAGAGGAACTCCATTTCCTGACAGAGGGCTGTGATAATGGCAGGTTTGATGAGGCAGCCCCTTCTCCCTCCTCCCCCCACCCCCAAATGATGGGACTGTCCGGACACCTTGTAATATTTACACCGTAAGGCTCAGAGGACAGGGCATTTAATGGGGCTTAATGACAAACTGGGAGGTGTGGATTGCCTGGGGTTCAACAAGTTGTTAATCCCCATTTAAGTCCCTATGTCAAGGTGATTGCTGCTTTTAGAGCCTAAACATGAAAATAAAATAGGCATATGACATGCTGTATATTGACTGACATAATATCACTCACTGCGTAAGGGGGAAATCCACATGCCCTGCTTGCTTGCCAGACTGCTGGAATAATCTCATTCTGCTTATGACATGTAGCATAGAGAATTTCAAGTATTCCATTAAACACAAGACATTTTGTCATAGTGCTTGGGGTCCTCTTAAACTGCGCTAGCCCCCAGGGCTCCATGCTCTCTTTGTCTAACCTTGCTCCATTGTAACTTGTGAGACCCAGCAGCCCCACTGACTTCCTGTTGAACATCCTTGGTTACTGGATAAAGAATCATCACTAGTCTAGTGGGCCAGATTCTCATTTCAAGTACAATGGTGTCAATCCAGAGTAACACCGCTGACTTCAGCCATTTGGCCAGCTTTCGACCAGCATAAGAGCACAATCTGGCCCCATAGTGCTAATACAATGGGGCATGTGTGTAAAAGAAGAAGCCCAGCAACATACTTCAATATTCTGAGTCAAAGACTTGCGGCTCCTTTGCTATCCTTCATGAGAGGCAATTGGATTTAACCGGGTATTTATACAAAGTGTCAGGCTGCAGCATGTCATGGTTTGATCCTTGGGTAGAAATCTCACTCACAGTATTCTCAGCCATATTGAGGTTTGAAGGAAACCCCAGTTTTGATGGGACAGCCTGCGTCTTGCAAATTAGATATAAAATGTAAGGGCCTGATCTGGCTGTCTTCCAATCCATGTAATTCCAGCAGAAACTGCTGCCACGCTGCAAGCCACCTGGTACCTCCAGAGAGTGGTTTGAACTAGGGTAACGGGGGACGGGGAAGAGGGAATAGCACAGCAGTGGGGGCATTCCCTCTCCATGCATAGGTGGGCCATAGGAGAGAGTTTGTTCCACAACACACCACCACACTCCATACCTCCAAAGGTTTGTGTTCTGCATTGCTTCACTTTATAATCTGATAAACTTCTACAGGCTCCTCAAGATCCTCAGGTAACTCGGTCAAATCACCTAGTTCTAAAAAGTTTATTTTGGCTTGTAGATTTCTGAAGAGTCTAATTTAAGCTGCCCCAGTCAATGCAGCGAACTACAGAACTTAAATTAAGTCACCAAAGCAGATGTGCCACGCTGGAGAGCCTCTTTAATATCTTAACTTTTAAATATGACTTAAAGAACCAGAACATTAGCCCTGTGGACTAGATGTTGATTTGATGTATTTATTGAACTGTGGTTCTGTCTCTTTCCTATCAGGCTGGTGGGGGGGGGGTGGGGGTGTTTTCTGTTTGTTTTTACAGTTTTTACTGGTGATCATCTACTTCTTAGAAGCACAATTCTGGAACTCTTTGTCCAAAAGTTTTCATGTTGCCCTCATAACCAATCTGCCAATGCTGAGGATGCTATTCCTTTGTTTGTTTGTTTGTTTTTGGTGGTTTTTAGGGAGAGACCCAACAGCAAGGTTGAATGGAAACTCAGTTGGAAGCTTTATTTCTGGAACAGCTACTACTGCTCCATAATGGAGTATCTATTGTCAAGTAGCATGACTCACCTGTCTAATGTTGCATTTTCATGTCCTCTTAGCTTGTCAATAACAGGTTGAATTCCCAGCATCAGAAACTCATATCGCAGGTGCAATCGGAATTCCAAATTGTCCTTACAGAAGGGGAGAAAAAAACAACTCAGACTCCAAAAGATTTTGGACAGATTCACTTAAAGGTAAATTCCTACTTTGAATATCACCTCTCCTGCTTTTAAAAGTTTACAGGTAGACTCACGTTCCCTGTTCCCACTCAGAATTTCTCTCAACAATCCTGACCTTCCATCAAAAAAAGCAAGTTCAAACTGGGCCTTCAGTCAGTGTGTCATTCTAGGCAGGGCCGGTGCTACCATTAAAGTGAACTAGGCGGTTGCCTAGGGCGCCAAGATTTGGGGGCGCCAAAAAGCGGTGCCCCCAATTGTTTTTTACGGCATTCCTCCCCGAGCGCACGGTCACTGCTCGACTTCTCCTGCCTCCCAGGCTTGCGGCACCAATCAGCTGTTTGGCGCTGCAAGCCAGGGAGGAGAATTAGAGCCGGGGCAGTGTGCTCGGGGAGGAGGCAGAGCAGAGGTGAGCTGGGGTGGGGAGGTGCCACACGGCTCCCCGGGCCGGGGGGGGGGGGGGGGGGGGGGGGGGGCGGGGGGGGGGCGGGGGGGGGGGGGGGGGGGGGGGGGGGCACAAGTTGGAAGTTTCGCCTAGGGCGTGAAACTTCCTTGCACCGGCCCTGATTCTAGGGTGACTGTGTATTCTGACGTTTCCCCTTCAAAACAAAAGTCCTCATATAACTGCATCAGCTCCATGTATCCTTCTGGGAAGGGAGCCCTCAGAGACCTAACAATGCTCTATAAGATGCTCAACAGGGGACAGAGGAAGAGCAAAGCAACCGGCATTTTTTTTATGAGCCAAGAGCAGGTCTCTTCCAAGCCTGGGTCACAAGCAAAAAGAATTTTGGAGGCTTCATTGAAGTTCCCATCTATGAACCTCACAAAACCACCATGCACACTGGCATATTTGGGAGTCTCTGCTCAGGAGGGGCTTCAAGGGGGAGTTACCAGCAAAGTGTGAGGAAGACGTTGTAAGTTAGGATTGATATGACCAGTCAAGCCCCTTTTCCAAGAACTAAACCCACTCAATAACACTAAGACTTGCCCCTTGGTCTAATAGCCATTTCCAAAGCAAATAATTCAGTAGCAACATCTCTGTTGTAGATGGAATTTCCAGGGTGGTGACTCACCTCGCCTGCGCCAGCATTCAGAACAGCATTGATAAAGGACATGATGGCCGTTTTGAGATTCACCTCATCCCGATAGCGCCCCATGCTTCGGTCTAGCTCATTCAGCAATGTCTGAAACACAAGGGGTGAGGTGAGAGAGACTAATAACATTCATTGCTTTCCACTGCACAGCTCCCACATTAGCGCCTTGTGAATGGATGGCTAGCATAGTCAGACTGCCTTTGATGTGTCACATCTCTGCTTAGAGTGTAAGTGGTTCAGAGGAGGGGCCACGTCTACCTGTCCACATTCATTACAATTTGGGGCACTCCATGAAAAATAATTAATAATAAAATGCCCACTTGATCCTGATGGAGAATCCCTGCCTAGTGCTTTGGAGGAAAGCAAATCCCCACCCCCCTTTCCCATTAAAGTCCCTGTCAGTATGAGCTATATGGCAGAAGTAAGAGGACCTTCCCTAGCCCAGATCTTCCAGTCAGTTTAACTCCGCACGTGCAAGACAGCATCTCCGTGGCTAATGCCTCTTGGCCCATTTATACTAGTGGCATCCACGTAATTTTTCATTCTTTTCTTGAATCCTAGCACAGTGGATTCTGCCAGTGCCTCAGGGGATAGAGAATCCCAAACATTAACTACCCTGGGCGGAGAAGAACCTCTGGAAGTGTATCATTGCACCTAGACCTTGGAGGGGTTTTAGTTTCCACTTGTTCCCTTGGTTCTGTTTAGTTGACATAAGGCAGATTTTTGCTCAAGTCTTTATAAGCTTCTTTTAATGTGTTTGTACACAACAGGAAGAGCCCCTGTGGTCACTCATCTGCAAACTCTTTAGAGCTTAGAGGTGAGCTGCAGAGCTAAAGTGGAAGTGGAGTTAAACCCAGATTTCCACGCTGATGTCCCCCCACTAAACAAGCTACGGAAGCATTTGGCACTCAAATATCTTTGAGCTAATCTTTATTAAATCTTCCTGCTTCGCGGGCGATATCTCAGAGCACATCACTGTCACGGCATCCGGTATTTATGATGTTGCAGAATGATGCATTCTGGGATATCACCAGTGGGTTTGGAAGCACCAAGAGAAGTTATTGTGAGGCAGGGAAGAATTAAAACAAAGAACATAGTTAACGTGTTTTGGTGCCAAATGCTCCCTGCAGCCTCGTTAGGCTCAACTCCATTTGAACTCATGCTGTAGAGTTTCCCTTAAAAACTGATTTGAGTCATAAGTGATTTGTGTCATTCTTCATGTATCCTTTCTCACAGATTCCAGGGCAAATGTGCTCAGTTTGTAAATCCAAAAATGACTTCTGTCAAACCTGCAAATTCCACAGGGAAGAGGATAACTAAATTGTGCAGCTTCTGCCTCTCACATCACCAACACTAAAACAAAAGCTCCACAATCAGAATTCAGTTGACAATTGTGCTGCTCATACACTGGGGAGAATGCAATCCTGCTCAGTCTTCCAAAGGTATTTTGGCTGTACAGGGAGAACAGGACTAAAACATGCTAATGTAATACACTCAGCAGGTATGGCTAAAATACACACACGGAGCAGAGATGTTGAGTAGGGAAGTTCATTTTTTACTTAGTGGCTTTTTGGACCCTGGCTACTGAAAGCTTTTCATTCCTAGCCAAGCCCACCATGCCTGGGATCAGTTTAATACGTGTACTCTGGTCACCTCCAGAAAAGTACATCCCTATGGAGATATGGTGTCACAGAGTACATGCCTTGTATAATGGTCTAAATCCCTTCTCTTATTTATTATACACCTTTCTGATCCAGCCTAGGACCCACTGGCATCTCTTTCTGTAACTGAACGTAGCATATACGCCTCCATGTTACTACATGCTTGAATGTCTAAGCCCCTTCTACAGCCAGCATCTTCTCTACAGCTCAGTGGGCCGAGTAAGTCTGAACTTTGTCTTCTGTGCCAGCTGCAAGCGCCTCTGCTCCAGGCGTTTGATCATCCAACAATTACAATGTCTTCCCATTGCTCAAATGGACACCCACCCGTGCTCCCTATTCACAATAAATGGGCACCAGTCTTCAAACAAACCCAACAAAACCAAAGTTCATGAGTTGTCCAAAAAGCAGAGGAGAAACAGCAGAGAGAAGTTAATTCTGTTACTTCAGATTTTGTGCCAAGATTTTGAGACTGAAATCCAAAGCCTTAGGTCTCTGGAATGACGTGGGCAGGATTTCCCCAGCCATTAAAACAGCAGCTCCAAAAGTAAGTTTTTTGTTTTGTTTTCCCCCAAACTTTGCACAAACCTGACCTCAGTCAGAATTCCCTTTGTTCAAAGTCAAGAAACATCAATTATTTGGAGACGACATCACTGAGCTGGAGCAGATATATGCTCATCCATGTCTACAATATATTTTTGTGGTTTGGTAAGGACATGTGTGTGAGACAGACTAAATGTTAAGATTTATAAAGTATCATTCCAGACCCACTAGCCATCCAGCTCAAAGGACAGCTGCTGAAGTTCTCTGTCCCTTTCCTGCAACTGAGCTGGGAATAGGATGTGAAAAGCAGTCAGGGCAGGGCAGGGCAGAGCAGACTGCAGGGTAACAGCAACAAAAATGCTCACTGAGTGAGGTGAGCAACATTGCATCCTCTGCCATCACTTTGATCTAGAAGGGAGCACTGTAAGGTCATGAAGTCCTTAAAGGGTCATAGTCTCTACCCCACATGGTGTGGCAGTTCTCCAATATCCCTAACCATTCTGGAGTGGCTGATGCTCAAGTCTTGACTTGAACATTTCCTGTGAAGATTTCACCACACCTCTGTGTACTAACTGATTTTATGGTTATAAAAGTTTTTCTTACTATTTAAGCAAAAACTTTCCTCGCTTAATTTTATTGTTCCTTATCGCTGACATCCAATAAGGTTCCTTTAGTAAGCAGCAAACCTCAAAGCAGTTTGGATGAGCTCTGAGGGGTGGAAGCAAATCAAATGGGAATAAAGGATTCTTCTTCTTTTTAATTTACTTCTTTTTAGTCCCTTTACTGTGTAATCTCAAATTGCTCAAATCTCCTTCTATGGGCACTGTTCCATACTGCTAGTATTTAATACAAGCCAGGCGATGGGGCTCTGGAAGGAATGCCAGTTGAAAAGGCTTAGTTTAGGAAGAAGACTGAGCTGCCTATATTCCTTCACTTCAATGTTTCTAGTGATACTAAACATGAAAAGTTTCAGAGTAGCAGCCGTGTTAGTCTGTATCCGCAAAAAGAACAGGAGTACTTGTGGCACCTTAGAGACTAACAAATTTATTAGAGCATAAGCTTTCGTGGGCTACAACCCACTTCTTCGGATGCACATGCATATGCCACAAGTACTCCCGTTCTTTAAACATGAAAACCAGATACTGCTGCTACTCTTGTGATTCTAGACAGTGACTGGACAACAGCTCTTATCACCCAGGGAGACATTTGTTAACACTACATCTCCCGTGTCACAGTAACTCTAAGGGCTTCTCTGCATTGTGAGTTACTGCTCGGCCAGACAGGGTGCAAATCTACAGAGCACTAGATTGCTGAGTAGTAACGTCCTATATTGACTCTGCTACCACACAGTGAAAGTCCTGGAGTGTGGCTTAGTGTATTATGGCTTGACAGCATAAGGTCAGGTGGCCTGGAATCACCAACAGTTGCTTTAATAAAGAGAGAAGCACTGGCCTATATCTGACAACGGGATTCACTCAGAACTGAAAGCAGGGTGACTCAACATTTTGACAGGTCTGTCAGATGTAAAGCTAGACATGAAGGACATTAGTGTGTCCTAAAATATCTTCCCAGGCCAGACTGGCATCACCACTTTGCAAAATGATAAGACTGAATCAAAGCACGAGTGTGTTGTTAAGATGCACAAACGTTACAATGCCCAGAGACAATGAGTTTGTCCCACTGGAAAAACCTTGGAAGATGGCAACCATAATTATTATTAGTGCCAGCAATGCACTGGGCACATCATGGAAGAGTTATAAAACAATAATAGGGTCCTTGCCTCAAAGAGAATCAAATATAAATAAAGCTATGTATAAATGAGTACTTTCCGTATGCAGAACACTTATGATTCACAGATCTCAAAGCACTTTACAAAGGTAAGTCAGTGCCATTATCTCTATCTTATAGAGGGGGAAACTGAGGCATTGAGAGGTTAAGCGACTCACCCATGGTCACACAATGAGTCAGAGACCAAATAGAAATAGCATCCACTAGTGGGACTGGATGCAAGAGAAAGGAAAGAAACCACGCGGTGAAGCTTAAAATTTGTCTTGTTCATTCATGATTTTTGTTCAGTGTTTGTTGCTTTGTTTTCCATATTTTCTTTCTTCTTTTATGGAACAAGTTTATGGGGTGGTGGAAGAAGTATGTTCTAAAGAGGAACTGGATGGAGCAGAGGCATGTTCAGCCTGGAACAGGGAGGAGACAAAACATCTGTCACCATACACTATGGGCAAAGAGGAGCAAACTTTAAGAAAATAGATAGGGGTTCCACAGCCCAAACCTGAGTGTTAAATAGATTCATTTATATTTATTACTATTAGGTATGACCTCTGTGTCCTCAGGTGTGCACTGCATTTATTCATGCCTGCTCTACGCAGATAAATCAGGTGGTTCTCATATATAGCACTGGTGTTGCTCTGCCCATGCCAGTGACCCAGATGAAGCTAATAAACTCTCCCTGGAGGAACTTGCAGACTAAGCCTGAGATTTTCAAAGTCACCTAGATGGTTTGATTGCCCAATTGCCATTAATTTTAATGGGTATTGGGGGTGTCCAGATCCCCTTGGTGGCTTTGAAAACCTCCACCTAACTGGCACAAGAGGATGCAGCATCACACAAACTGGAAGAGACCCAGTCCCATAGAGGAGTGTGGACATTAGAGGTGGAATACTTCCAAAAGCTGGTTGGGTTTCAGGAGCATTATAAAAGAGGAAAAGACGGGGCATGTCATATATTAATAAAAAATGGTTCAGGCATAAAGGAAAGCATGAAAAAAGTTACAGAATGGGCAAAGGGACCGCTCAGCTCAGGAAAGAAGCTGGGGCAAACATGAGGGAATGGGAAGGGTCTACTGAAGGAAACAAGAGATAAAGGCTGGTAAAAAAG